TGCTGGTGGCAATATGCCCGGTCTCAAGACTGGAGCAAATAAGCTCTTACAGCATCATGAGCACTCCAAGTGCAGACTTTGCATCTGCTTGTGATAGCTCTCACACAAGAACCAAGTGGCACCAYGCACCAATTTGTAACTGCATTATTATACAATTATTTTTTATTCAAAGAGATATTATATTGGCCCATTACTATGCTACAACAATGTGACCAGTTTTTTTGGTCATGTTTCTTCACCAGCTTCTACAAATAGAAGGAATGCTCCAAATCTGGCCAGGGCATGAGAGGAGACATAACCCAACAAAAGAAGAGGGGTGATTCACTTAAAAAAGCAGAGTTAGGGTGACCCTTTGAAAATACCTTTCAATTCTGTTTCTTCACTCTTCAAGTATTTTTGAYACAATTAAAATGCATTTAATTATTCCAAATGTCTAATGAGTGACATTAGACAAGAGGTCACACACTGGGTGAGTAGTGCATTGGTGTAGGACGAAAGAAGCTGCAGGGAGAAAAAAGTGCTGTACACACACTGTGAGAACAGTCTGGATGTTTTTCCTAAATCCTCAAGACTAACATTTGTTGTGTCATTAACTGTAAAACTAAGACTSAGCTCATTTTTGCCTTGCAATGCTGGTAGGGGTGTAGCTTCTAACTAGAGAAGCTAAAACCAGCTTGTATTTACTTCATCCAGTTTTGTACTTATTTTGCAAAATGCTAGACTAGCAATAGGTTTTTTTCAGATTCAGTAAGGTTCTGCAATAGTGTTTGACTACAGGATATACCAGGGTTCACTCAGCTTTGAGGTGGAACATAAGCCAGCAGCCAGCTTCAGCTGGATAACCCCTTTTTAGGGATGTATTTTGGTACTGGCATGGTCTCACCCCTGAACCCCTCATCTTATGGGACTGCTTAGGACCAAGAGTTTAGATTGTCAGATCCTGGTCTGTAGCTTGTGACATGAGCTCAAAGACAGAAAGATCCAACCCCTTTACTGGATCAGGAGTGGTAAGTCTTATGAACAAATAATTTGTAGTCAAAATGCAACCAGAGCTTGAACACCACCATGCAGGTAAACAATAGCTGACATCAGTTGGAGATTACACAGATGAAGCAGCAAAAAAAAAAAAGAAATTGGATCAAGGTATCACTTGGAGATAGTCTGAAGTGAAAGCTCGCAGCTAGTCCAAGTTTTTTGCCCCACTTCCAAAGCATCTTGGTCACAGGCTCTGAAATGTTTCCAAGTATTGAAAAGGCCAACTGCAGCAGACACATGCAGCTATTGAATGCATCAGGAACTTGCTAATATCTGACCTTGTAKGAATCACAATTTGTTGCATCACAGGAGCACATCCTACCAGAGGTCTACAGTGAGACAAACAGTGAGGGCTGTGCATCAGGTACAATTATGCTGTGAACAATCAGACTGAGACAAAACACTTGATCCATCACATACTTACCAGGCCTCCCTCTGCATCCTTAGCAGTTGACATAGCTGAAAAAACAAAGTAAGYGTCTAAGAAACTTATAGGAATTGCAGCAACTTAAACATGACTGAATTCAACAAGATTTATATGCAATAGAAACTTGTCACAGAAACCAAAGCTTGTACAAACCAGACAGGTTCTGACCTATCATGTATTTCACAGCAGCACTACCCTTAGCTTCCACCAACAGCACAAACATTGTGCCTTCATACAGGGAAGAGTCCTGTTTAGTAAAATGTAGATCACAAGATGCAGTTTGGCTTTTAAGCCACTCATGCAACCTCCTCCACTCCAGCCTTTATGCTTCTCAGCATTTTTGTGGGCTATTGCAATATAGAAGAAAAGGCAGAAATTGTCTTTACTGCAACACAATCAGTAAGACATGATTTGAACAAACTTTGCAATTGCATTTCAGGATAATTTTCAATATTATTTTAACCACACTGGTAGCAAAAATACTTCAATACACATTAATAGAAATAGACGTTTCCAAGGAAAACAGATCAATTTCCACTAAAAAATAAATTCACATAAAACTTATCAACCTAACTTTCACATTAAGAGGTTCAAATGACTAAAGGGCAACAATATGGAGAAAAAAAATCTCCACAGCCAAACACAGTAAAAGTAATTTGTGATCTAATTAGTTGGTACTTTTTACCCCACACACCCACAGGTTTTTCCTCTTTATGCCTGAACCCACACACAGGTTGTTCGTCTTTGCCATTACAAGGCAAGTAGATTGGAAAAGTCCTTTTCAAGGACCTTATGATAATCTTGCTTTGAAGCAAAGGGATCTGAGGCATCTTTCACCATGATAAGAAAGCTCATGGTTAAGGTTTATGAATTTTATTTACTGAACAAAACTACTCTTCATTTTACAGGACTTTATAAATTCAATTGCACACTAAATGAACTAAAGCTTGAACAGGTACCCTGTAAGGCAACACAAAAACCAGGAGTAGCTCTAATGGATGCTCTGCCTAGTTCTGGAAAGTGAATTTCATGGATAATAATCAAGCAGTTACCTTTATCACATTTCAGCTTTTTAAGAGCAACCATGATTAGCACACACAAAAGAGCAATCACAAAAGCTGGAATAACCCAAATATGATCTCTGCTCCCTGCAAAGTAAGAAAAAAAATTAGCACAAAAACAGTCCCYCACAAAGATATTCCTTGCTGTCCTAGAGAAAAACCTAAGCCCAGAATTAATACAACCCAGATAGCTTGTCCTGGAAAAGACACTGGGACTTGCAGCTGCCCTGAACATGTGAGAACTTGTTTGCACTGCACATCCTTATCCCAGAGGCAGCAGGGAATTCTGCCCAGAGCTGCAATACAACTTCTATAAGGTTTTCTGGAAAGACATGTAAGAGGAAAAAAAAGCATGCAAAAGATCATTGCAAGCTTCAGGTGCCAGTATGGGTTCCCTCYTCCTCTGGCCTGGCAGAAGAGAAAGCTACTCCAGGCACAGCTTCTCGGGCACAGAAAACATATTTGCACTATCCATAACTGTCAACTGTATCACCCTTGCAGCTTTAAGAACCCTGGCAACACATGTAGCTTTTCACCAAGTGAAAGTTAAGGTGGTTTGTCCCTTCAACCCCTTTAAGAGCTTGTCTTTAGCAGGTAATTCCCAGACTAAAACGGCCGCTGCTGTTAAATACCTCAAAGCAGTTTAAACCATTGTTTTAGAGACTGCTCTGGTGTTATTAGCCTGAAGCCACGGACCCAACTAACCAAGCTGAGTGGGATCTGGGTACCAGACCTTGATTGGGTAAGTCACATTCTGGACCTGTAGTAGCATTGCAATTTGGAACAATCTCTTTCCCATCYGGATACCTGAAATGGAGGGTAACACAAGAGTGTATCAATTTTTTCAGCAATTATAATTGCTGAAAATATTATAATTACATTATTATAATAATTTCAATATTAWCAAAACTTAACTCTGTCCAGGCCTGACTTTTTTTCAGACAGAGTTTAGAGACTTGAATGGAACATGCATAAACTTTGATAGAAGTGAACCTTTAAACAATCCAAGATAATACTACAACATAAAAGCAAAGCAGATAAAATTCATATGTGTTAGCTTCTAAATGGAGGGGGAAAATAGAGTAGAGGCATTATTCATGCACAGTTAGTTTCCTTCTACAGATAGTTCTACCTCCTAATATTTTGAGCTGGGTGCTAGAAAGCTCATTCAAGTGTGCTCCCGGGGAAATACCAACCCGAAGACATGAAAAGTGCAAGTTTACATCCAAGCACAATGATACCCAAGTCCACGTCTTTCTAAAACCTCACAAATTTTGACACCTAAAATTTAAATGCATGAATAATGCCATTTGGCTTCAGGGCAATTATTTACAACATGATGACATGTGTTAGCTATTGGCACAGATTGGGCCWCAGCTCTAACATTCCCTAGAAGGAAAACAGTCACACATTCTCMAACTTACTTTCGATTTTGTCTCTGACATATTTCACAGCCCTCATCAGCACAGAAATACCCTGGTTTGCACTGGCATTCAGCATCCTGTGTCAGAGTACAGGGTCTCACAGTTATCTGATCTAAAAATAAAATGTAAGTTACAAAGTGCAAAAGTTATACTCAGGGCATAAAGGCAATTTATTTTTAAATTCAATATGTTTAATGAGGACCARGTTTTCCACATTAAAAAAGGGAAAACGTTTAAGATTTCATCAGAGTTGATCTTGGTACCATCTTTGCACTGTCTGCATGGCAAGCATTCCTCCAAGCCGTTCTCGTGGGCAGTATAATCTTTTCCTTCACTGCAAGGTTCACATTTTCCTCTTAAATGCGAAGCACTGCAGTGGTCAGCAACAAAAGTACCTGTGGAAGAAGAGAACCAGCAGTGGCAGCAATCTCGGGGATCTCTTAACAGACAAACGTCCACACCAGGATATTACAACACAAATTTTCGAGGAGAGTTCAACCTTTCCTTGTAAAAGAACCATGTGCCACATGAACTGAGCACTAGAGGAGAGTTTGGAAGCACATTTGCAATTTGCCGCTCAGAGAGGGAGTGGTGCAAAAGAAGGCATCCTGCAAGGCTTCTGCTGGAACACACTGGGACAAGGATGACTCACTGCAGCAGCTCAGAGGCAGCCATGAGGACGGCACTGCTGCTGAAGGAACGTGGCAAGCACAAGGGAGAATTGTTTTTAATAAACTCTTTTCTCCTTTGTCTGAATTCCACCTAATGCACCAGTAAGCTTCTGACACTATCTAAGGGCAGGTTTCTTCTTGGTACAAAACTTGTTAGCTCTGCACACATTGAGCAAGGAGGGGAAAGCAAAACCAAACTGAAGTTTTGCCTACAGACACAGAAATATCAAAATTCCCCTGCGCCTGTTCTTTGCATTATCCTCAGCCACATGYAGTGATTCTTGGCTTGCTGCCAAAGCACCTCTCTCAGTCATCACCTGTTGCAGTAAGGGGCTCTCACTYCAAAACGGAGTCCAGCCTTTAAAGCACCAAGAAGCTATCACAGCTCCAACCAGACTTACACTTATATGGGATACAATATAAAAAAAAAATAGCAACTCAGTCATCTCCACAAGAGAAGAACATGGCCACTATCAGCTGTAACTGCCCAAAGCTTACCTGCTTCACAAAACACACAGCAGCGACCTTCATGGAAGTACTGTCCCTCCCCACAGCTCTCCGCTCGGGCTCTAGGCACTGTCAGTAGCGCAACCTACAGTAGAGGCAAACAGCATTTGAGTGATTCATGCTTCTAGAACATGATAACTATCTCGAGAAGATGAACCTGTAAAGACTTGGAAACACGTTCAGAAGTTTATGGGAAGCCACAAAGGAAACCCAAACTAATTTCTGCTAAGTGCTGCTCACAGCAGTAATTGCCATCACAAAGCTGGGGTTAAGGCAGCACACGCAGCGGCTGACGGATTTTAGGCAACTATTGCCGCACATCCCTGCCTCCGTATAAACTTCTGTTTTCTTTCCACTACTTCACTGCAGAGAGCAAARCTTCTGCGGTGTGCAAGGGATTCACTTCTCCCTTCTCACATCTTTTAAATTCATCAGAATCAGTGTTAGTCTTCCACAAAACAGAGGAAACATCCCACAGACATCATCCARCATTTCTCACTGGCTCTAATCCTAAGCAGAAGACAAGTAGTTAAGCCGTTAACAATGCTACAGGAACACTTTTTTTTTTGAGAGGAAGAAACGCGCGGGCCGCGCACATCGGCAGACTGCCAGAGCAGGGGAGTCAGCTGCTTTCAGGGAGGCGAGCTCAGGCTTGGTGCCGGGACACCCAAGTCCATTCCTTCAAGACTCACTCGAGAGAAACCGCTAGAAAAAAAAGAAGGGACAAGGGATGGGACGGCCGCCGAGCTCCCCATCACTAAGTGCCACCAGCGGGCAACTTCTAAGATAAAACCAACTCCCTCTCCTTCAACTCCCCCCTAGACCAAAGCTTCCCCGTAAAGGGAAGCGTGGTTGAAAAACATCCAGTTTCACAGTTAAATAAGACTGTTAAATAAAGACTATTAARGAGCTCACTCCTCACTTGTATTCTTTTTTTTCCCGAGGAAAGAAAGAAAGGCGGCAGCGCGTGCAGTAGGAAGAGATTCGGGACATCCCCGTTCCCTCAGAGTGCTGCGTTCACGCACACGGCAGCAGCGCTTCCTCAAGTGTCCTGTAACATCAAACAACACGAACCAAAAGTTCGGGCAAGTTACTAAAGCCTTTTGAAGAAGAGAAGGGTAGAAAAATCTACAAGACCCCTTCACACTAGAGCTGGAGGAAGACTTTTTCCCCTCAAACCACGGGRTTTGGGTTCCGGCTGCGGCGGGCAGGCGGAGGGCGAGCCCGCACCCGCAGGCAGCGGCCCCGGCCGGGGAGCCCCACCCTGGGGGACGGAGAGTCCCGTCCGGCACTCACCAGCAACAGCAGCAATCCCGGCACTCGCCCGGCTCCCATGGCGGCCCTCGGCTCCGCACCGCGCTCTGGACACTCACCASCCCCAGGTGCTGATTTATAGCGCCGGGGGCGGGCCCGACGCTCTCCGCCCCGCCTGGAAGSGGACTCCCCGCACACGCAGGAATCTCATTAGGTACGAGCGCCGGGATGGTGCCTCTCCAGCAAGAACTCCTGTGGAGGGGAGCTGCCCACTCATGAGCAAAAGGGAGCGGRTTGGAAACTCTTTCCAAACTCAGTGATCAACTGGGTCTTCTAAAGCTCTAAAAGGCTCCTCAGCAGGTATTTCTCCAAGAGAAATAACATTTCTGGCCGTGATTTTCCTCAAGAATACGTTTCATTTCCCACGTGCATGTAACTGGCATGCAGTAACATTCACCCCCAGATGTTGAAATTGCTTTAAAATTAGTAGCACAAGGATTCATAGGCTGTTCCTTTTTGGTTTATTTTTTAATCCCCTGTGGCAGCAGCAGTAAATGTTGGAAACTYTTCCTCTGCTAATGTTAAATTAGTTTGTATAGGTTGATAGTTTCTTCATTGAACTGTTCCTATTGTGGTAACAATGTTTATTTTACTTAACTGCAGTAACAAGTCTCAGTGAAATCACTGTGGGCGTGTAGTTTGGTAAAATGGAAATAATCCAGTTTCAAGCACTCAGCACTTCTATTTGGTTCAGGTGGGCTTGGGTTGTTTGGTGGTTTTTTTTTGTTTTTTTTTTGGGGGGGGTGGTGGTGTCTTTTTTCTGTTGTTTGAGTAAACATTTCCGAGAGCCAGGATACAGATGCACCCAAGATACGTAAATAGTCCTACAGAAGTGGAGAGGCGCCTATCCACAACTCAAACACATGGTCCCAAAGCAGGATGAGTATGACGAGGAAGGCTGTGCTGACAGGTCAGAGATGTGCTGACTTGCTGAAGCATTCAAAGGAGATCAGTGGTTGTGTTTGCACAGCTTTAGGAGCAAACACTTTCAAGGTGCATCTGGGACTTGGGACAGCCTGGCAGGCAGATGCAACCSTGACTCGCTGAGTTTTACATGTGTGGCACAAACCAGACTTCCTCAGAAAGAGGGACTAGGATGATGTCCTTCAAAAAGGCACCCAATCTGGATCAGTAATGTTGATATTCTTCAAGCACGTTTCCTCAAGGATGAAGAATACTTTGGTTTTCTGGAGACTTTTGCTAGTAACAAAGTCACTCTCACCCTGTACTATTTGTGTTCAGTTTCCTGAATGCCAGCTTCCTGCCAGCTCTCACCTTGCCTGCTCATGTCAGASAGCTTTCTCCATGGAACTATCTATTCACTGTCATCAAGTCATAACCTTCATATAAAGGTTTTCTAAGTCCAGGACAAGTTTGTACATTCGCATGTACAACAGTGGAAATCAAGGGAACCGTTTCTCTTTCTGAGGAAGTTGTTATAATTAGAAGACACAATTTCAGATAGAATGGTATCAAAATGCCATTGCTGTTCTAACTTATGGCCTATGTCTCAGATTCTTGGAGCTTTTCCTCTCAAAAGTAATTTACTTTTAAAATGCTATTAAGCACCAAACCAAAAATAATTTGTCAGATAGACTGCCACTGAAAGTTGTGTGTAGTTTTATTTCAACATATCAAGCACAAACAGGTTTCCCCTAACTGGGGAATATGACAAGGAATGTACTTAAAAATTTGGAAACATTTACATTGAAAGATAGCCCAGACTGGCACCACCACTAAGTATTTTAAGGCTGTATATATAGCAGTACTTACCACTTGGAACTACTTCAGGCCAGAAAAGAAAGGCTTAGTATTGTCTGCAGTCTACAGAAAATATTGCAAATCTTTAAAAAATGGTGTAAAATAGGAAGACTATTAACAGGGTTGAACAATGCAGTGGCAAAACCCTCCCTCTTTCCTGACCTTTGACAATGAATGTGCCTAAGACCGAACACACATACACCTACATTGCTCCCATCCTTCTCACCTATGCTGGGGCAGTGGATTCTCTCTACAATGCTAGTGTGTGATATTATAAAACAGCCATATAGCAAATAATAACAATAATAATAAGTGACCAGGTTTTACAAACAGGTGTGTCTGACATCACACTCGATGGSCCAGACCCAGGACACCAGCCAGCTCCATAACTGAACAAGGAGCTTTCACTGAATACTTCCCATTTCCTAAAGAAGAATGGCTCTAGGAAATTGTGCATATTTACAGTTTCCRTGGAATGGAAAATAAAACACATCCTGAGGTCCCATTCTGTGTGTGCTGACAAAACAGATCATGACTTAATATCCCATGGGTGGATTTTTTTGGACCAAGTGTTCTCCCTCCCATAATTAAAGGCAGCCGGACAGGCACCGYGGACATCAATTCTTTACAGCTCCCCAACTGCACTCCCTCACTCCCGGAGCTATGACCCAGGCCACCATGACCTTTCCAAAATGTTGAAGTGATTTGGGGGTTACCAATACTGCTGGGTAATTATTCATTGCATCATAAAATGACAAAACATAGAAAACAAATTGCACAATTAAAGCTACATTTGGCTTCAGCATTAAGGCCCATACAGGTTAAGAGGTCCTTGAAGATGTACATGTAAAAGGCAAAAATGACATAATCTGCAGGAACAAAGTTTTGCAGGTTCCTAGGTCCCTTTTTAACCTCGTTTTTTCACTTTCTTCCACCTTTGCCATGTTGGTTCTAAAGTGCTTTGGTGCCTCGCTGGGCTCCTTGCGCAAGTGGCCCCCTCCTGCAGTCAGTGATCATTATTGCTGCCAAACGTAGTGATTTTATTTGAAGACATAATTAATGAAGAGTTGACACGTAAGAAAGATGCAGAGGAGAAACCAACAGCGAGAGTCCAGGAGGAAGCTTTCAGAAGAGGCCTTCCTGTGGAAGGACTTTTTGTTCAGAGCACTGAGGTTTCTGGAAAAGAAAGCAATATGATTATTTGTGTGTTGGAGAGAAACGTGMGTTCACATGTGCATGCACACCCAGAACTTCCACACCAGGAGGGATCCCTGTATTTCGGTGACACCCTCATGGGTAGAGCAGTGTGCCCCCACAGCCTTTACCTCCCTCTTTTTAACAGTAAGATCAGTACTTCTGGCTGCAGCTGTTGACATGAGAAAGGCACAAATCCCAAGGAATCTCATCATCCAGCACTCACTCACAAACCTATGAGTTTAATCTATGCCCTAACCCTCCCAAATACAAGACCCTGCCCTGGACACCCCCAGGAGCTGAAGTGAAGCTAAAACCGTATCACCACTGGCTCTGGTATCCAGAAATGGTGGGCCTCATGTGTGAGCCCACCCCACAGAAGCCTCAGGACCATACTCCTCATGCAGAGGGGCATCAGCAGGGCTCCCTGCAGCAGGTGCAGCAGTTGATGCCTTCCCATGGAGTCTGAAGGGCAAAGCCTTCTGTCAGCTGCAGGTGTGGCTGCTGCTTTTCCCAGATGGCAACTAGCAACTTATACCAAATATGGGAGTTAGTGCTTTTCATCACAGAGCCCAGTTTTTCAGGCTACACCCCTGCATTTCTACAAAAAAAAACCCAAGGAAATTCATGACATGCTCCACAGGAAGGAAGACACACGTTCTTGCCTGGCAGAGATTAATTTTTAGCCAGGGCCTGGCCCAGCCCCTCCCAACTTCTGCAGCTGTTTTACAGTTAGAGTGCCTGGAGCTGTGTAACGTTATGAGGTGATGCTTTTTGCCCACAAGGAGAGTCTTAAGAAATTTCCTCCTCACTGTTTCAAGCAGAGCGCGGGTTTGTCTTTCCTGCATGTCAATTGTTTAGTTTAACTGCAACAACTTGAACTGCACTCCTGCAGCTCATAGAGATGCCCCAAGGGCCAGMGTGAAAAGTTAAATGCCACAAGTTACCTCTAGCCCATTAAAAACATTGATTTCATGACAGAAAATGGTTACCTGTGTATGTCCTGTTGGGCTTTCTGTAGGGATAAGACAGCAGAGTGAATTTCCCTCAGGTGATTCATTTCTTTCCCACACTGAGCACATAGGCTTTCAAACCCTGTGGCAAAATATTGAAGGACAATTATGTTTTGCATCACCATTTTGGTGGTAGTGATAAAACACAACACACAAGCGGCTGGCTGTGATCTAATTGTCACTGCTAGGGGGAATACTTTCAGGAGGAAACATGAGGAGAAGGAGACAGGGAACAGAATCTTTCACCCAGAAGACCCAGGCCACTGTAACAGGTTCTGTGACCCCCTGTGCTCCTCCGTCAGCTCTAACGAAACAATGCTTCCCAGCTGAGGGGAGGAGAAAAGAGTGCTCACACCTGCCCCTTCTCTCAAAGGTTCAAGGTCACCTCTAACAAAGGCAGAGAAAAARAAAAGAAAAAAAAAGGCCTGTTTCCTATCTGCTCACTGGAATGTCAGTGTATTTTTCCAATTTTGCCAGGAGCTGGGAAATCCTTGTTGTAAGGCAGAAAGGAAATGCAGAGAACAGAAAAGCAGAAAATTCTCTGGGTTGCCTGCAGGCTGTTGGTATTAACYGGGCTGGCAAAGTCCAAGGGCTGACTCGAGGAATAAAGTAACAAGGGAAGAAAACTAAAGCCTGACCCAGTGACACCCAAATACTTGCCATCATCATCGGAGAGCTCCTGCACTGAGTCTGGCGTTGAACAGCTGCTCTCTGTGTTCTGGCTGTGGTTGGATGGTTGATCACTGGTTTTGCGGCGCCTGCACTCTTTGGCAGACCTCTGGACAAAACAGGGATTAAACCAGACTCAGTCTCTATCAAATTGAAGACTTGTGCATTTGCTTTAAAYGAAACAATTCAGGGTGCTGGGAAATATGTGTGAGACTGTGAAGTTTGATTGCTTTCTCAGCAACTTCTAGAAGTTGGACTCTGGCAGCTACTTAAGAATATTACACATATGCCTCATACAGAAGCATTTCCCCAAATAGCAACAATCTTAAGACACATATCCAAATTATTCTTCTTGTAGCTTTAACTGACACATACTATGGGTGAACCTTGTAAGTTCTTTTGCTGAGTTGTGTACCCACTCAACCAGATACGTGAAAGAAAGGTCGAAAAGAAGAAAAAATTAGAATCAAATTATCCACCAAAGATTTTTCAGAAGGTGCATGAAGGATCTAAAYATCACAGAACTTTTATACCTAATTTCTTGATGTGCCTCGGAAAGCTTCTCCCTCCCTCTCAGATGGGTGAACCAAACCTGTTGATTCAAATTTCTCACTAGAGGGTCTGAAAAGCAGTTACAAACTTCAACTTTCCCCCTGCTTTAGAGACATTCAGATGTGGGGTATTATAAAAGAAACATCTGTGTACATAAASAGATGCAAGTTTCTCAGTGTCATATGGGCTATACTTAACTAGCTCAGCAGCTCTGTATTAGGGAAGTGTGTTATGAATGACATGTATCACTCCAAAAATGAAAGCAGTGACATAGGAAAGTATCATCTCTGCTTAAGGGAAAGAATGGAAAGATTTTTCTTGTCTTTGCTGAGAGACAGCGAGTGATAAAAGCTGATGGCAAAAACTGAAGCTGAAATTGCAGGATCTCAATTGTGTACTCCAAAGCTGATGGGAATTTTTCTGCTTTGGAAACCCTGAATAGCAAAGCTCAGCTCAGTCATGTATA